GTCAGCTGGTTCAACTGGAAATATGCCAACAGTCCGTTATCAACTGGTGAACATAGAAATATGCCAACAGTCACGGGATTATCACCACGGAACTTAAATGGTACCTGTGAAACCATCAAGACACCCAAGAATAACTCATTTTCACACCTGGAAAACACGGAATACCCAGCTTATATTAATAATCCGTTTGAGTCACGAGATCATCACCGCGGAACTGCTGGCAACTTTGACTACCATTTAAATAGGTGTTTTAAGACACGTAATAATGACTAATTTTTCACACCTAAAAGTCACGTATGTCCAGCTCAGATTAATAATCCGTTTGAGTCACGAGATCATCACTGCGGAACTGCTGACAACTTTGACTACCATTTAAATAGGTGTTTTAAGACACCTAATAATTACTAATTTTTCTCACCTAAATATCACGGATTCACAGCTAAGATTAGTAATCAGTTTTAGCTACGTGATCAGCACCAAGAAAGTTATGGTAACTTTGAAACCATTTTAAAAGGTGTTTTAAGACACCTAATAATTACTAATTTTTCACACCTAAAAGTCACGTATGCCCAGCTTAGATTAATAATCCGTTTGAGTCACGAGATCATCACCGCGGAACTTATGGCAACTTTGACTACCATTAAAATAGGTGTTTTAAGACACCCTATAATTACTAATTTTCACACCTAAATATCACGTATTCACAGCTTAGATTAGTAATCTGCTTGAGCTACGTGATCATAACCAAGAAATTTATGGTTACTTTGAAACCATTTAAAGAGGTGTGTAAGACACCTTAGAATTACTAATTTAATATAACCAGAGATTCACGGACAGAACAATATGACGATTAGCCGGTGTAAGTAACGTGATTATTACCACCAACCTTGGATAACCTGTGAAACCAATCGATAAAGGTGCTTGCAAGACCAGATAATTACGTATTTATCACCACCATCGGTTAACGGACATAAAACTCGTTGTTTGGTCAAGTGGTTATTTGGTCATAAACACTAGATTTACAGAGGTAAGTGGAATCACGTTACTCCAGGCGCGTGATAAATTGGTGGTTTTTAGGTTAGATGAAAACGTGAACAGGAGTACCTTTTTTGTTTAAATAAAGGCACGTGTCGATAACGTTTAAATCTAGTTCAAAAGGCACTATACTTTAAAATCACTTAAAATACACTCCCAAAAGAGGTTACTTTTTAGTGTTCTGTTTATTGGGACTGGCTGCCTGCCGTATCAATAAACGAAATTAACAAAAGACTTAACTCCGTTTCGTTAACAATCAGCCATAGACGAGAGACTTCATGCATGGCTGATTGTCATCGAAACGGAGTCAAGTCTTTTGTCAATTCTGCTTTTTGCTACGGCAGGCAGCCAGTGAAAACAAATTTGTTTGCTAAAATTATGAAAATGTAAGGGCTAATTTAAACAAACAGAACTTTGTCATTCCTTGCACATTATTCCTAATTGAGGTGTCATGTGAAAGAGCAGATCCTCAACTTTCTAGGAATGTGATTTTTGTTGTTGAAATTTAGATACCGCCCGTCAAACGGCTTTTCGGTTTCCTCTCTTCAAATTGATTTTAATCACTCATGCGTGAAATATGCATCATAATGAGTTGCAGCTTTCCAAATATGTGTCATTTATTAATTATAAATGTTATTAAGTTCGATAAAACATCGATAATTCTCGGTTTCGTTTTTTCTGGGACGCACTGTATAGGAGCTCGCTAGGTTGCGACGTTTTGTGACTTCCTAGCTGAAATTTCCTATCCATTATTGACCATGCCCCTGAAAAATTGGTTCGGTTGTTGAATATATGTTGTTAAACTCACCAACTTCCAATAACTTTTTATGCCTCCGTTACGAAGTAGCCGGAGGCATTATGTTTTCGGGTTGTCCGTCCGTCCGTCCGTCCGTCCGTCCGTACGTCCCGTTCTCGTGATCGCGTTATCTGAAGAACCGATTGATGGATTCCTGCCAAACTTTGGTCATGTATGTTACTTGCAGAGCCGATGAACTGATTAGATTTTGGGGTCACGAGGTCAAAGGTCAAAGGTCACAGGGCTCATTATGTATGCAAAAACAGCTCGTGATCGCGTTATCTGAAGAACCGATTGATGGATTCCTGCCAAACTTTGGTCTTGTATGTATCTTGCAGAGCCGATGAACTGATTAGATTTTGGCGTCACAAGGTCAAAGGTCACAGGTCACAGGGCTCATTAGGTATGCAAAAAGAGCTCGTGATCGCATTATCTCAAGAACCGATCGATTTGGTCATGTATGTATCTTGCAGAGCCGATGAACTGAATAGATTTTGGGGTCACGAGGTCAAAGGTCAAAGGTCACAGGTCTCATTATGTATGCAAAAATAGCTTGTGATCGCATTCTCATTAGAACAGATTGATGGATTCCTGCCAAATTTCGATCATGTATGTATCTTGCAGAGCCAATGAACTGAGTAGATTCATGGGTCATGAGGTCAAAGGTCATGGGCTCATTATGTATCCAAAAATAACTTGTGAACGCATTCTCATTAGAACTGACAGATGAATTACTATTTAACTCGATCAGGACATCTTGCAGAGCCAATGAACTGAGTAAATTTTAGGGTCATCAGGTCAAAGATCAAAGGGTCATATATGTATATGAGAAATTGCTTGTAATCACGATATTCTGAGAACCTCTTAATGGATTACAATTGAACTTGAATTTAAAAAATTTCTTCTGTTTTGGTTTGTAAAATTGCTCTATGACGGAGGCATCATTTTCGACTGCGCGCAGTCGAAGTTCCATCTAGTTACATATATAACTTTGCTCCAAAGTGCGCTAGAAAGAAAAGACGGCATTAAAGATTTACACTATGTACACTAAAAAAATGAAATAACTGAGCTCTTATAATATGTTTGTGAAGAGCTGATACTGTACATACTTCCGACAAAGTTTGGTCTATGAAATAAGAGAAAAATGACCCAATTGTTTACGGGTGTCTGACAACCCCTTGGCGACGGAAGTAGCCTACTTGTGCGTTTTCTGTGTTTTGTAATGTCCAGTCATCATGGGATTGGGTAAATTTTATTTCATTTGGGGATCTTTCTCGGGAACTTGGGGGGGGGGGGGAATGGGACGGATAGACTGACAATTTTTTTTCGTCAGTGACGAGGTGGTCTATACTTAACTAAGACTTCATTGATGAGTGACATTTTCAGGGCAGGCTCTCGACCTAAATATTATGAACGATTGGCCTAGCTTCATGATAAGTGCTAATTAACTTAAATTTCATTAGGAGGTCTGATATTTAAAATTCTCTTTCTCACATCGAACAGTGTTGTCTTTCCCGAAATAATTTGCAGGCAGCATGGTCAGTCGGGATAGTTAATCCTATAGGGCTGTTTATTGCATACTGACATCGGCTGCTGGGGCTGTAACCACAGTCATGATTTCCACAGCGCATGCAAAATGATTAAAAATGAAAATTAATTAAAAATGACTTTTTAAAACACATTTTATAACTTCCACATAAACCTCAAAATTCCATAGATTTGTTCTGCATTATCATGATTATTTTTGATTTCGGTTAGATGAACTTGTGATAAGAATTGAATATATATTCAAACTGTACGGCAAGCTGTCACTCTTGAAATGTTGACGGAAGCATTCATGTTTCATTGCACATTAAGGATCTGAGGCCTCACTTCTTGATTTCACTGCTCAGATCTGAATACTATCATGGTTCACTAGCTGAAGAGCAAGGTGGCATTTGTTGAAGCTGGAATGACAAGAACTATGCTAAGAGTAGAACTCGGGAGGCACATCGGAGAAAAGGGTATCAGCAAAGTAAATAAACTGGAAAATCGAGGAAAGCAGAAAAGTAGGGGGGGGGGGAGACTTGTTTTGAGTCTTGTGTCTTGTGCCCCATTCCTAAATGGCTTGAAAACGTAATGCTGAATAAGAAAATTCAGAGTAGAAAAGGGATTTTTCAAGTGTTTGCCTTCCGACCACTTAAAGGAGAGGAAGATATTTTCCGCATCTTCTACATGTCACAATAAATACAGTACTGGTAAACATCATTAGAATATGCGCTTAAATTAATGTTCATCATTGCGTATTTTTTGGCTAAACTTCATCTTCTGTTTGTTGAGTGAAGTGATGGTCTTCGACCACCAGGCGCGTACACAGGGGGGGGGGGGGGGGGGGGTTAAACCCCCCCCTTGGTAATTTTTTTTGTGTAAACCCCCCCTAAATTTCTCTAAAACCCCCCTTTTGGATTAAAAAATCTTACCCCCCCCCCAACGGAGCAAAATGTCAAATTTTCAAATTTCGAGACCCCCCCCCCAAAAAAAAGGGTCCTCTTACCCCCCCCCCCCCCCCACTTATTCAGCGGTCGGCTGAGTCGTTGCGATTTTTTTTGGGACCAAAAAAAAAGAAAAAAAAAGCTTATTCAGCGGCTGGCCGAGTCGTTGCGAAATTTTCGGCCCGATTTATAAATGTTAAACCCCCCCCCCCTTGAAAAAATCCTGCGTACGCGCCTGTCGACCACACTATGTAATGTGTATAAAAAAGCTAGTTCTAGTTCTGATAGGGCACTCTCTCTACCACCCCCTTCCGATTCCATATAGCCATGCACAGCTTGATATGTTTTATGGCATTGCGGCAATATGTAGTATTTTCAATTGTTTTCAACACTGTAGATAATCTGATAGTCCTACATAATTGTGGCTATAGCGTGGCTACCATAATATGGCGCTGTATCATTTCAAGAAGCTTGTGAGGCAAATCTTTATTACATTCATGTCTAGTGGATGTTTCTGTGTCGCCGAATGTATCATTTTCCGTTTGAAATCAAACGCAGCTCTTTATGCAATTGATTTTTAGGACTTGCGTTTGATTTTCAGAGTTGCTATATAATAGAGGGCCCTGAGCTTTGTAAATGAATATACATTTGAAGTTTACCTGTATCTACTGATCATATCTCTTCGTTCCTTTCTGCAGACAGTCTTTCGACAAAACATATGAAGCTAGTAACTAATGATGATGATGTTGAAACCGAAGAAAAGCTGATTATTCCTAGTTTCGTTTTGAAATCCATTCGAACCACCAATGAGGACTTAGTGTATTCAACGGGTATGTATAGCTCAAACCTCGTCTCTTATAATGCTTCATTCCATAATATGATTTGATTTAACTTAGACTATCATTTACATGTATACAATTTGTTCAAATAATAAAGGCGATGGCTTTCCATAAATAATTTCTCTTCATGAATATTTCTGAATGTCTACAATGTAGTAAGGTCTTCCTTAACACGAGTCATCTTTATGATTCCTGAAGCTAAGGTAACCCATTTGAAACTATATAGTAGCGAACTGTTGTGCGAAATTTCGGGGATCCATGACCTGAGCCAGCCGAAGAGACAAAATTACCCAATATCATATCTACAAAGTCATGAGGGGGCCTCCATTCCCCATTGTTTATTGGTCATTGTGTAAATATCATAGTTATGACCGAGTAATTTAAAACCTTGGTTGCAGTACAAAGTGGGCAACAACAGAGCACCAAATTACCCCTAGTGCGACGTCAGTCATGTCTTTAGTCTGTAATTAGTTCATCTGGGATTCTGGTATGTTTGGTCAGCCACTCAGCAACAGCTCGCTCCTCTGTAGTTCTCTAGATATGCATGAACTTACAACCCCTCATCTATAACCAAAACAAAATAATTCCTATTCTGGAACACTATACTAAACAATGTTTTTTGCTAAATAATATAATATAATACACAAAGATATAAAGCCCAAACCAAACCCAAGGTTTTAATACTTAATAAAGATGGATTATTGGGCCCATTAAAGGATACGTTTCCCTCATAATATTGATCGATTCAAAATATCAAGTTTTGATGTATTAAGTATAAATTATGTATTCGGAAGAGTGCTTTAGGTTGACCATTAACACAATGTAATAAAGGTCTATCTCGTAATAGTTCACGACATATTGTAAAGTCCTTTTAGTATCAAATATGAGTAAATATTTATACATATATATCTTTTTATCAGGCTAACATAAAGTCTCTGAAATCAACAACATAATATGGAACATGTGTCCATAATGTCAAATAGGGCACCCAAAATATCTGTGTGCAAAATAAGATTTTAAAAAATTGTATGGTGTATCAGAAAAATAAATCGTGAATATTAATTGTTCTTCGTTCACTTGTGTGCTATTATTTCCCCTTTCTTACACAGCTAGTAAATATTTATTAAAACAAATCTCTTTTATAATCAAGTTCTTTCCTTTACGAATTTTATTTCTTAAAAGAGTGTCAGAAATGGAATGATCTAAGCATTT